TATCAAGTTGATGTGAAACTGCTGGAAATATGTGACAAAACACAACCCAGAAACATAGCAAATATGAGGTTGGTATCAAACAGTTGCCACCAGTTCAGTTTCCAAGTATTCTGCTGGCAATGTGGCATGCAGGTCTCCTAGTTTCTCCCTAGGCAGCGCCCCATGCCAAACCAAGTTTCAAATCCTATATAATCTGACTGTGTTTAATTCTTTCCCCTTTGCATCAACTTGCAGGTGCACAGGAGGAGCTGGTGTGTGCCCTCCAGATGTTCTTGGACTCCGATTCTCTCATCAGCTCCAGCCAGTGTAGCCAGTGACAAGCAGAATCACTGAATTGTAGAGTTGGAAGGGACCACAAGGATCATCTAGTCCAACCCCCTGCAATGCAGGAATCTTTCACCCAATGTGGGGCTTGAACCCTGAGATTAAGAGTCTCATGCTCTACAGACTGAGCTAAGTGGTGGGAGAAGTTGTAGTCCAACCTGGAAGGCATGTCCAAAGGATGTTACGGTGGAAGTGAACAGTTCTGCTGTTCCTTCCTGTGCTCCATTCACCTTCTTCATATTCAGACTTTATCATCTTCTTCCATTGCTCTCTCAGTGAGCTTGATTCCCGTGGAGCTAGAAACGTGTGCATTGCTGCATTACTCATTATTCTAAGAACTTTTCTCCCTCTCCGACAGCCCCCCATGCTATGCTTTGTTTTATTAGTAGAAAAGAAACATACAATAAGTATTAGTACAAAAGAAATATACAATAAGCGTATTAGTATAATTGGTACAGAAGAAATATACAGTGAAAGTGTGATAAATATAATTAATCACTCAAAAGAATATAAAATGGAAATATCACAAAACAGGAAGATCAGTCACACTGGATATGCATTTGTGCGCTGCATTCATGCTCTCACTTTATATGCAACTCCTCAGTAATAATAATAATAATAATAATAATAATAATAATAATAATAATAACAACAACAACAATAATTCCATCTCTCCCTTGGAAGCCAGACTAACTCTCCAGCCTCTCACTTAGACACTCGACTTCCCACAACCAATCATTCATGGGGAGTGCCCTTGCCACACCCTGGAGTGATTCAAAGGCAGGAAAACCTTTGGGACCACCCCCTTCAGGGCCAACTCACCAAGTCTGGCCTTCCAGCTTGAAACCCACCATCAGCTGTGGCCTCCAAATAGGCTTTCCCTTGGAAAGGAGCTACAGCTGCATCGGAGTTCTTATTCTTCACGTGCAGGATGCTCTTGCCCAAATTTCTGGCTCCTCCAAGTTGCTGGTGTCTCTCAGGTGCAGCAGAAAAGGGCTGGGGAGGCTAAGGTGGACATCCTACCTCCCAGCCAGCAACAGTGTTGCCACTTTAAAAATACTGCTCCCATTTCATGCATTAAGAATATTTATGAAATGTATTCCAGACAGAGACCACACTATGCTTTGCCATACCTGCAATGGAGAAGACGGACTCTTTTGCCAAGAACGCAGAGTTTTGCATAACATGATTTTTGTGTGGCTGGATTATAACATTATCACACATTTCTGCAGATTTTGGAATGTTAACATGGTGGCATCTTTGCATCAAAAGCACCTCTGCTCAAGTTAGAATTTTATGTATTATCAGTGTTTATTTCAGCTCACTTAGAAAGGAAAAGGAAAGAGGGAACAGAAAGGGCTCGGATGTGGTTTGATGTCTTTTCGACACTTTTATTAGCATCTTCCAAGGGCAACTGTAAAGTCTGCCTTCCCTTGGGGAGTTGTATAATACAAATATATATGTTAGATCATTATGCAATACGGAAAGCGATTTCTCAGGGACAGTCCTGCTTGTTTAATGTCCAGATTACCCGGGTTTTCCCCACCCCTTGCCCCACCTCCAAGGATAAATCTGCTAAATTGTCTATCGTCTGTTCTTTGATTGGACATGGCTACTGAGTAAGTTTATATGAGATATTATTTTTTCGAGCAGTACAGCATGAGATTTCAGATTTCCTACTGCCTCCTTTACCTTGAGTGTGTGCCCAGGTCCAAGTTCACAAGAGCCTCTGAGACATATCTTTGAATGCCGCGGTCTCAAGAGTAGATGTGAAGGCTGACTTCTGCAGGGTAACCCATTTGGCCCCATGAAAGCGTTTTAAGAGGAGGCCACATATTCTGCTTCACGGAAGCCAACAATGCCCTGTCCCTGGATATCAGTGGCAAGCCTTACCCATGTGAGCAGATAATAAGCAGAATGTGCCTGCCTTGGAAGGATTTGAAACTTAGCTTGGCACGGGGTGCTGTCTAGGGAGAAACTAGGAGATGTTTACATCAAGACAGTACAGACACAGAAGGGAAGGGTCTAAGTAGGGCTGGTCTCACCATGAGGCAGCCTGAGGCAGCTGCCTCAGGCGGCAGGATCCGATAGCAGCACATCCTGCAGCCAAACCTGCCACTTCATCAGGAGCCCACAGGCCTTGACAGCGGCCCAGACACCATTTTGGAGGCTCATATAATTCACTATTACAGGAGGCACTGATGCACGCCAGCTTAAATGGCTTTAAAAGAGGACTCCACAAATTCATGGAGGATAATGGCTACTAACTCTGATGGCTATGTTTTGGCACTGAAACTGCTTTCATCGCTCTGTATGATGACCTCTGTTGGACAGGGACAGGGGAAATGTGTCCTTGTCAATTCTCCTCGACCTCTCAGAGGCTTTTGATACCATTGGACATGGTATCCTTCTGGAGCAGCTGGGTGGCACTGCTTTGCGGTGGTCCTGGCCCTACTTGGATGGTCTTTTCCAGAGAGTGATGCTTGGGGAGTGCTCTTCGACCCAGTGGAGCCTTCAGTGTGGGGTTTCTCAGAGTTTGGTTTTATCCTCTATGCTGTTTAAAATATACATGAAACAGCTGAGTGATGTCATCCAGAGTTTCGGAGTCGTACCTTGGCTTTCGAACACCGCAAACTCGAAAGTGACTGTTCCAGTTTGCGAACTATTTTTGGAAGCCAAACATCCGATGGGGCTTCTGCAGCTTCTGATTGGCTGCAGGAGCTCCCTGCAGCCAATCGGAAGCCACGCTTTGGTTTCCGAATGGTTTGGAAGTCGAATGGACTTCCAGAATGGATTGCGTTTGACTTCCAAGGTACGACTGTACGTTGTCAGCGATCTGCGGATGGCACACAGCTCTGCTTCTCCTTTACATCTGCAGGTGTGGCTGTGGATGTGTTGGACTGTTGTCTTGCCTCAGTAATGGACTGGATGAGAACCAATAAACTGAAGTTCAATGTTAGCGAGCGGTTCCCTAGACTCGGGATACTTCTTGTTAGAATTCCTGCTCCATGATTGCAGTCATGGGATTGTTGTCTATCCCATGACAGTATATGTTTTGACTCCACAGAGTGGGAAGTGACAGAAACAGGAAATTTGTGTTACTGTGTTCCGTGAAGTGGGACTATTGTCCTTTTTTCTTTTTGCTGTCTGATGCTAGAGAGAGAGGGAGCCATGTTGCAGTGCTCCGTGTGTGCTTATATGTAAATAAAGTAGATTAGCCAAAATGCTGAGTTGCTGAGGTCTGTTACGCAAACTGCAAAGACTCTGCAGATCCTTAAGTGTGCCGATGTCTATTGGCATCGGTCGCTGTGATGTTTGGGCTGAAGAAAGCTTTTGAAGCTCCCGAGTGATCGACCAGGAGGGAGAGAACATGCCAGTCGGGCATGTGTCTCTGCCAGGGTCCTACTCGAGTGTAGGCTGAGCTCCTGACACTTCTTGGGGGTACTTCTGGATCTATTTCTGTCACTTGAGGCTCAGGTGGCCTCAGAGGCATGGAGTGCCTTCTCCCACCTTCAGCTAGTGGTGCAGAGATAGCCTGACCTCTGTTGTCTATGTTCTGGTAACCTCTAGGTTAGATTACTGCAACACATTATATGTGGGGCTGGCTCTGGAGGCTGTTGGGAAACTCCAGCTGGTGCAGAATTCAGCAGCCAGGTTTCTCACCGGGGTAAGACATTTTGAGCACATAATGCCAATCCTGGCCCAACTGCACTAGCTGTGAATTAGTTTCCAGGTCCAATTCAAAGGGCTGGTTTTGACCTACAAAGCCTTCAATGGCTCAGGACCCTGAGATCACCATCTGAGAAGAGAGTGAGTGAGCTGGATAGGATTCAGTGCCCCGCACCCACACGCTCTGTTTCCTGTCAAAATAGGGTTCTTTCTCCTTTCTTTATAATTTCAGCAGATCTGTGTTTAAACACATACTCCATCAGATCTAGTGAGATATGCTGTTGCTTTGATTATTCTTAGTATGCCAACAAGCTGGTTGTCAAAGCACATTAAGAACTATCTAGTCTCTCCATTAACTTATATTTAGCTTGGAGGTTGTGAGAATAGTTCTGGATTCTGGATTTATTTTTATTTTATTTTAATGTTTTCCACAAAATACTGTTTACCACAAAATATTCCATTCCATAACAAAGAATTTCACCTTTCTCAAGGACACTGACCCCCCCCCCCCCCAAATAAGGCTTAATCAGTAATTGGTGGGTTCCACTCCTATTTTTTAGGCTTTAGCAAGCGATATTAACCTTTCAACAGATTGGCTCAGCATCCATCCTCCCTACTTAGCAGAATGAATGGAAGAATTCCAGTTAATTGTCTGTGAATGGGGGACTTTTCCAGCGGACTGTTGGCAGGTGTTTTCTTTTGCTCAATGAGTCATTAGCAGTTCGTCCTTTCTGATTTGAATCCTGGGAGGGACTTCAGAAAATAAGACCAGGCAGGATTAGTGGTCACATCCACACCATACAGTCAAAACACATGGCTTCCCCCAAAGAATCATGGGAACTGTAGTTTCCCCCTCACACCGTTCCCATTCTGTGCACTCTTAATAAGCCACAGATCCCAGGAATCTCTGGGAGAAGCCATGTGCTTTAAATGCATGGTGTATATATGTCCTGAACAGGTACACAGGTCACCTGGTCAGAGTCTTCCCTAGTATAATATGATGGATTGTATTTCTAGCTCAGCTGGTAGAGCATGAGACTTAATCTCAGGGTTGTGGGTTTGAGCCCCCTGTTGGGCAAAAGATTCCTGCAAGGCAGGGAATTGGACTGAACGACCCTGATGCTAACTCTGCAATTTTATGATTCTCATCTGTATCCTCTTTCGTCTTCTATTTGTTGTTGAAGGTTTCCTGCTTTCTCATCATGCCTACCCCGTTCCCCAAAGCAAACAATATCTACATTAATATGTTTTCCAAAAACATATCTTACTTATGCTACAGCCATTTCATTTATTTCTCTTGGAAAGGGATATACGGACAGATGCAAGTATGGGAAACTTCAGCAGAAGGCGGGGAAGAAGGTTCTGGCATGTAACTGACAATATGATGAACACCTCTGCAATTACTGTAATTTTAAATTAATTAATAATAAATTCCAGGCCTTCCTAAAGACCCATTTGTGCATTAGCAGTTGCAGCCCCGGGGCTCAATGTGAGCTCATCAAAGTCAACGAGGGCCTCCGGTGCATATAGAATGGATCATTGATCCACTGATAGGCTGGAAAAAACATATTTGTAATGTAGCAGACAATTGGTGCCTGGCTGGAGCTGAATATTCCCACATTAGCAGCAATCTGTTTTCAGAATCAGCGGCTAGGTCCACAAGCACGAAAGCTGCGTACAGTATGATAATGAGGAACCAGGGAAATGCTTGAAATTTGCAGCGTGGTTCTGCTAGGCTTTTGTGAGTGTGAAACTTTTCAGACACGCACATAAGGAAGACAGGAAAGGGAATGCCATTGGTCTACGAGCAGCTGATCTCGACATTGACTTTTAACCCTTTACTTATTTATTTGAAAAATGTTTATACATCCTTGCAATTAATAATAATAATAATAATAATAATAATAATAATTCTGGGTGGTTTGCAATAACAAATAAAGGCACAATAAGGCAGTAATAGCTAGTGCTAGAAACTCACAGCAGGGTGAAAACAAACAAAAAATTCAGACGTTAGAAACCTGGCAAACAAAAAAACAAAAAACAAGGTATTTGCATAGCAAAGGTATTGATATAGATGCCTACTATTAAACAGCACCAGACCTGCTATTAAGCAGAGATTTGGGGGTGATGAAAAGGCAGCAGATTGTCGCTTTTAATTTATTATGAAATTATTCATGGGGAGAAGAAGAATAATAATTTATTATTTATACCCCACCCATCTGGCTGGGCTTCCCCAGCCACTCTGGGTGGCTTCCAACAAAATATTAAAATGCAGTAATGCATCAAACATTAAAAGCTTCCCTAAACAGGGCTGTCTTCAGATGTCTTCTAAAAGTCTGGTAGTTGTTGTTCTCTTTGACATCTGGTGGGAGGGTGTTACACATGGCAGGTGCCACTACTGAAAAGGCCCTCTGCCTGGTTCCCTGTAACTTGGCTTCTCACAGTGAGGGAACCGCCAGAAGGCCCTCAGAACTGGACCTCAGTGTCCGGGCAGAATGATGGGGGTGGAGACGCTCCTTCAGATATACTGGACCGAGGCTCTTTTCTGGCTCAAATGCCAAAGTCATTTGGCCAGCTTTGGATACTAGGCCACTTTGCTTGGGAAGGAAGAGGCACCATTTGCTGTTCCGCCTTAGACAGCAAAACATCATGGCTCTTAGTGCCAGACAATCCTCCCTGGGGAGAAGAGTTCAAAAAGCAGGGTGCCACAACTGAAAAGGCTCAGCCCCCGTTACCTTCTGCCTAGCTTCAGATGAGGGGATTGCTCTGAAGAAGATCTTAATGTACAGGCAAGTGGAGTATCTGAGTCCTGTGGTACTCTCTTGATTATTGTTGTTGGGAACCTTCTATACTAGCAGAAGTCTGGCTATCTGAATTCCTCTTGGGAATTCTTCTCTTTCTGCAAGGCAATACCTGGACAGTGGGTCTAGTTAATTTTGGTCTGACTCTGCATACATGCAGATATATATACTTGAGCTCCAACAGGGCCAGCCCAAGACATTTTGGCACCTGAGGCAGAGCCCAGAAGGGAATCTCCCTCCCTGCTGGGGAAGAAGGACGATCTACAAGGAGGAAAGAAAGATTGACAACAGGATCTACTCCTTTGGATCCTGCTGCCTGAGGCAGTCCTCAGTTTGTCTTACGGGTGGGCTGGCCTTGAACTCCAACTTCTTGTTGCTTTAGAAAGGCAGTTTTGGCTGGGGAGAATTTGGAGCAAATAAGATTGGGGTGTGAGGCATGAATAATCATTTCCTTTCCCATCACATATTTGTTCTCAATCCACCCCCAGCATTCCCTTCTCCCCAGAGTCAAAATCATATTTGTAATACAAACAAGAAAATAAAATACTCCCCCCCCCAGCAGCTGCTGTCTACCCCACAACTAGGCAGTAAGTTCCCCAGCGATGTCTGCATTGGCTTAATGTATTGTGTTAGCATTTACGTAGCAAGTCTAGTATGCAAAGGGATTTACAAGCTTCCTCTGGTTCACCCTCCAAACAACCTTATTAGGCTGGCATCCTTCCTTTTTAAGGACAGTGACTTTCCCAAGGTCAGCCAGAGACATATGGAAGGGGGAGAACATGAAGCCACTGGATGCCTGGTCCCACACGCCACTCATTGCGCTGTCGATAGAGTCCAGATCCCACAAATGATGCCCATAACAGCAAAATGTGGTGACTAATTTCTGTCAGGTTCTCAGAGCAATTGTTATAATTTTATGTTTTTTTTACCGTAAGCAGTACAAAAGCACTTTTGTGAGGAAAAAATGCGGGCTTTGACCGGCCCATGCAGCTCACCATAACGCTCACCATGCCATAATATTGGCAGCAGCATATTGCCTAGCTAGATTAGACAGGTAGGACTTCCTTGTCACTGAGGTGCAATATATATGCAGAGCCCTAAATACTGGGGAAGTAGCACCGGAAGGTTAAATTGTCTTATTGGCGCATAAAGAAGAGGCATTGTGTCTCTTTCCCTCACCTCGAGATTTTACTAACTACTCTTCTGCATGGTAGAACAAGGGATTGTTTGGGGCCATTAATCTCATTAATGACCGCCTATCCCTACAAGTTGTCTTCGGAATGAATCGCGTCTGTGTTTTATGGCGTATTCGTTTGTTATCTTAATGATCCCTGCACTTCGTAGAGAGGAGCACAGTAGATTTTCATCTTATTTTAATCCATCAAAATCAAGTTAGTTGCGACTGATGGGAGGGGCGCGAGGAATCTAATGGTTGTGCCTGGATATGTCATCTCCGAGCTGAAAGTTTGCCGGTTGCCTGGCAACCTTCTTAGAGGAAGATAGATGTCCTGCCATTGGTTCCTTTTTTAGCTGAGGCAGAATATATTAGTGTTACTGTTCCGCCACAGACAAAGGGAACAGCAGACTGAGCTTAGCTCGCAGGGGCTGTTAAACGCTCCTCAATAGTTGCCTCCAGTTTCGGGATTAGATGAAATGGGTTTTTATTCTGTCCTTGTTAAAGCTGTTAATTTACTTGACTTCATAATGCCAGTTTGCTAACAATGGCTTAAACCTTATTCATATCACTTTATGTGCAAGTCTGCACTCCCTCGGGGAAATGGAGATTCTTAAATGCGCTCTGATTTAGAATATATATTTTAATACAAATGCCTTGTCTCCATAAATAAGACCAGAGGTTTCATTTTTAACCCACCAACACTTATCTTTGAAGGAATGTTCTCAGATGATAGAAATCGGTACAAGAACGCATGTTTTTCCCCTCTACTCTGTGTATGTTTCTGGGAAATGGATCAAAGTTTGCAGAATCTTTTCTTTAGGGCCTGCTTCGTTAGTTGCTCCTAAAACAGCAGGTAAATCCAAGAGCAATAGAAGGCTACATACACACTATACCAATAAAGCACAATTGAAGCACATTTGTCCCCCTCAAGAAAATTGAGGGGACTGTAGAAATGGTAACTCTTTGAATACCCAGTACAGTGGTACCTCAGGTTACATATGCTTCAGGTTACAGACTCCGCTAACCCAGAAATAGTACCTTAGATTAAGAACTTTGCTTCAGGATAAGAACAGAAATCATGCTCCGGCGGCACGGCAGCAGCAGGAGGCCCCATTAGCTAAAGTGGTGCTTCAGGTTGAGAACAGTTTCAGGTTAAGAACGGACCTCCAGAACGAATTAAGTACTTAACCCGAGGTACCAATGTACCCAGAATTCTTTTAGGATGTGCTTCAAATGTGCTTTAAATGTATAGTGTGTACACAGTCAAAGTCTCCCCATGTGGGTTAGCAGCCTAAGAAAATATGGACATCAACTTTCAAAGGACTGTGGCTCTCCAGATGTTGTTTGGCTCAGAGCTGCCATCAGTATCATCAGTCCCAGTCAGTGTGGCCAACAGTCAAGAATGATGGGAGTTGTAGTAGTGGTTCAGCAACATCTGGTGGGCAGCTGGTTAGCCAGAATCTCCTTTCTTGTAACTTGAAGTCATTGGTTCAGGTCCTATTCTCCTGTGCTCCATCTTCCATATGACAACCCTTTTAGATATTTGAAGATGGCTATCCTATCTCCTCTCAATCTCCACTTTTCCAGGTCAAACATACCCAACTCCCTCAACCATTCTTCATAAGGCTTGGCTTCCAGACCCTTTATCATCTTGGTCGCCCTTTTCTGCACACGTTCAAGCTTGTCAATATCCTTCTTAAATTGTGGTGCCCAGAATTGGGCACAGTATTCCAGGTGTGGTCTGACCAAGGCGGAATAGAGTGGGACTATTACTTCCCTTAATCTGGACACTATACGTCTGATGATGCAGCCTAAAAGACCATTAGGGGTGGGGTTTTGTTTTCATTTTTATTGCTGCTACATCACACTTAATGTGGTCCACTAAGACCCCTAGATCCTTTTCACATGTACTACTAGTAAGCCAGGTGTTCCCCATCTTGTCACAGTCAGTCTAATTAGGGGAATTTAATGTTTCTAGATTATACCTATATTGGTGGGGAAGGGATACTTTGTGCTGCAGTACAGAACAGTTAAATAAGTGCTGGATTATTCTTCATCCATGTACAACATGCATGGTGACTGTCTCTCTCTCTCTCTTTT